CCTTCAGATCTCTGAGTTATCATCAGAATTGTTTTCAGCACACATTTTAAGATGAAGCGCTCATTAAGGAAGCTGCAAATGGAACTGGTGACAGCTGAAGTGAAGAGGATTACCTCTGATCAGCAGTAGGATTCCCTAAAGTCGTAAAAGATGGTGAACTAGGGAATGAATGATTTGGTTCTCTAAGACAATTTCAGCAGACCAAATAGATAAATAATGAAGAAAGTACATTTTGCATATCATATCTTATTATTTTTGGGAGGAACCCTCTTTATTACCTGTAGTTATCTAGTATCATGAGGTACAACTTTTAAGTCTAATTTGGGAATTTCATCATTACAAGGGAGTTCAGAGACCATCCAGTCCCCTTTACTCTCCATCCTTGTTGTGAACTTGAATCTTGTGTGCAATATTCCTAAGAGGCCTTTTCTGTTCACTCATGCAGTTACTCAAATTCAGGCCCTTATCATCTTTCACCTGGATTATTATAATTGTCCATTTGGGCTTCTCACCTTAAGTCTCTCTCCTCTCCAAACCATCTTCCACATAGTTATTAAAGCAATATTCCTAAAGCACAGGCATGACTATGTTACTTTCTTGCTCAGTAAACTCCGGTCACTCATTGTTGCCTCTGATTCAATACAGTTTTCTCTTTTTGACATCTAAAGTCCTCTACAACCTGACCTTAACCTACCTTTCCAGTCTTAGTGCTCCCCTTCACATACTCTGGGCTTCTGCCAAAATGATCCTGCCGTGTCTTTGTACAGGCTTCCCACCATGCCTGAATTGCAATTTTTTTATCTGCCTCTTAGAATCCCTAGTTTCCTTCAGGGCTCATCTCAAGTGTACACCCTCTACCTGGAGCCTTTCCTGCTTTCCCCCTTAGGGACTCCCCACAAAAACTGCCTTTTATTTATTTTGTGTATGTGTATATGTTCTTCCATATCCCCATCCCTTCTCACTCACTGTATTCCCTGGGGATGCTTAATGCTTGTTGACTTTTGAATCGACCATTCTGCCGCGGGTTGGATATCTCCTGTGATGGGAAGCTCACAGTGCCCAAACCAGGCTATTCTAGTGTTGAACGACTATAATTGTTAAGATGTTCCATATGTGAAGACAGACTATTTTAGTGTGATTTCTATCCCCTAGTTATATTTATGACCTCTGGGACCAAACAAAAAAGACTTCTTCTACCTGATAAGGATGGAAGAGATTGGTCCTATTATTTCATTGGTATAGGGAACTTCCAGATGAGAAAACTTCCTCTACCAATGTACTACCTCATAAGTGCTATCCCTAGTATGCTATCAAAGCACATTGTAACTTTGCCTTCTCAACCCTTTGTGATTCTTTTCCACCTCCTTCCTTAAATCCATCATAAAGAATCTGTTCAGTAAAGCACCTACCTCATGGGTTGTTACGAGTATTGAATGAAATCATATTTTCAGAGGGCTTAGTTCAGTACTTGGCACAGTAGGGGCTTAATAACTGCTTGTTCCCTTTCCTGGGTTTTCAATGAAAACCTTCCTTTGTTTCTTTTTTAAATATTTCAGGTAGGGGCAGCTAGATGGCGCAGTGGATAGAGTGCCAACCCTGAAGTCAGAAGGACCTGAGTTCAAATCCAGCCTCAGACCAAACACTTGACACTTACTAGCTTTGTGACCCTGGGCAAGTCAATTAACCCAATTGCCTATGAATGAATGAATTAATGAATGAATGAATAAATAAATAAATAAATAAATGAATGAATAAATAAGTGTTGCAGGTATGCCAATGCAGTAGTCAGGCCATTTGGATATTATTATCCACAGCATTGTATAATGAAGAGAACACCTGATTTAGATTGAGGAAAGACATGGATTCAAATTCCAGCTTGACATTTAATAGTTAAGTGACTATAAGAAAGCCACTTTACTGCTTTTAGCATCAGGGTGCTGATTTATGAAATAGCAGTAATAATACCTCATAGGGTTGTTGTAGGATCAGTGTATGTAAGGCACATCACCAACCTCTAGGTTTTATGTAAATGTCAGCTGCCATTGTTGCCACATGACTGACCTACCTCCTCTTGCATGTCTTTGATGTTATTATCTAGGTGCAAGCCACTTATGAGATATTTCAACCCTCCTTACATGTTTATTTTGCCCTTTAAATCACCTTTAGTGTCGTATTTCTTAGGAGTAGCCATGCATCTGGAACATCATATAATCAATGCAATATTGATCAATCAGTGAGCATTTGTGAAATACCTTCTACATGTCAGGCCACTGTGTTAAGCTTTTTAGATACAGAGACTCTCACCTAGAGTGAATCTGTCCTTTCTTTGGACTTTGCACAGGACATTCTCCATGGCACTGCTAAATGCCTTTAGAGAGCACCAATCTCAAGCTTTATGCTTCCATTTGACCTTGTTGGAAGCATAAAGCATGAGATTGGTGCTCTCTAAAGAGCTCTGAATTGTTGACCTTACAATTAGATCATTAAAGTTATATCTTAGATTGTATGCATCAAGCAGCTTTATAACATATGGATACCTTTGGAAAAGTACTTCATAGCTTTTTATTGATCAAGTCATTTTTATGTGGGGGGAGGGTGCAAACAGCAAACAATAAGAGATCATAATCTGTTTTTTTCAATTGTATGACTATAATGATGTGATTTACTGTAGGGTAGGATCTGGAGCATCTGTCTCCTTACATCTGGGCCCCCAGCAATGCTACCCACAGACTGAGATACCCACTCAAAACAAAAGCTCATGAGTCCCAACTATATATTTACTTTTATTAGCCAAAAGACACTTAGTTCAGAATGAAAGATATGTAATCAAACAGTGTAGCAAATAAAGTATAGTACAAGAAAATTCTCTGCCCCCCCAGCCGTGCATATAAGAGGAACATTTTCCCCAGTATACCCACAGAGAACACGTGTAACCAAGAAGCATGGATGTAGGGTACATGCAAAGCCATAGCAGCTCATACTTCTGATGCTGGCTAGAAGCTATTATTTTCTTCCAATTTCATTATATTATTTTCTACTAATTTCTCTTGGGTGTTGCATATCAACTTATCTTTGGTTGCTCCATCTCTGCTGGGTAGTCTCTTTGGGGATTGTGTAATTGCAAGCCTATTCTCTGCTGCCATCTGTAGGGCTTCAAATATCTAGCTTCTTCAGGGCCAGCTACTATTCTAACTGCTATATGCTTGAGAATTACAATAATAATAATAATAACAATTATTATTATTATTACTATAGCAGCTAATATGTGTTTATTATGTGCCAAGCACTGTGCTGTGTTTTACAGTTATCTCATTTGATAGTATAGTTAGTATAGTTGCAGTAAGAAGTCTCCCTGACAAGGAGAGTTACTGTTCTTTTAATACATAGCCAAATGTAGAAATACATTTTGCATGACTTCATATGTAGATGGGTATCATATTTCTTGCCTTCTCAATGGGTGGGGGAGGAGCAGGAAGGAGGGAAAGAATTTGGAACTAAATATAAAAATAAAAATAAAAAATACATAGCCAGGTCTGGGAGTCTCCACACCCAGCAGACAGCTAACAAAAGTCAAAAGATTATTCTTTTTGGTGTTTATTCCAGGTCTATGGTCCCCGACAACTATTTCAAGTTTATGTTTGTAAATTCATTTTAACTGCTTTTGCATCTCTGATTGTTAGCCTCTGGGCCTCAGAACCTATTTCTGGAACTCTTCAAAAAAATCTTCTAGTTGCCTGTGCATATCGGGGCACAGAGGCATGCAAATGAAGTTAGGGAAAAAGAACTGGTTGAAGAAGTCAAAGCTACCACCTTCTACCCAACCCCTTTGCTGACATTCCTGCCTTGATTAATTATGCATCTATTCCAGGAACAATTTTTGCTGGTTCTTTTTGCCTCCACCCAATACAGAAGTACTATTTCTCCAGAGCAGAAAATCGTATGCAAAAGCCTGCCTTCTCTTATTACTGCTGTTTTCTTATGTTTTCATCAAGGATATCCTTAATACATAAATAGAACATTCTGATAAAAATGAGAAAGTGGGTAAATGAGTCCAGCATCTTTGTCTGATGACCAGTGACTGGGCATACAGCTTGATGAACTGGATCATATCATTCTTGACAATCCTACTGTAAATGAAACCAAGAGACAAAAGAAAGATACATCTCAGTAGAAAGACGGTCCACAGGTTGCACCAACATTTGGCATAGAAGATGAAGAAATAGAGATTGTCTATAAAGAATCTTACAATATCCTTTTAAAATTTAATTTAATTTAAATTTTGATACTTGATAACTTTAATGCAAAAGGGGATATAGGTGAGGAAGTGAAATGTGTGTTGGAAAGTATAATCCAGGAATAAGGAATGAGAATGTCTTCCTTCTTAATATTTTGCAAATAAGCTTGTCTTCTAAACCAGTTTTTCCCTTATATACCACAGGAGATATAAAGTATTAGTTGGCTTTGGTGGTTTCTGAGCATTTTTGGCTGCCTTGTGAGCTATTTTATGGTGATTATACTTCTCTAAGAAATGGTAATAATCAGTATCCTTACTTGTGTATTTCCCATTTTTCAGAGTCAATAGCTAATTTGAATAGGTTAGGTTGGAATTGTTAAAATTACACACACGGGAAAGCTGGGTGGCACAGTGGATAGAGTACCAGCCCTGGAGTCAGGAGGACCTGAGCTCAAATTTGGCCTCAGAAATGTAACACTTACTAGCTGTGTGACTCTGGACAAGTCACTTAACCCCAATTGCCTCACCAAAAAAGAAAAAAAATAAAATAAAATTACGCACAGTCAAGTCTCATCTTTAACCTTTCTTCTAATTTGGTGTTACTATTCTCTTTTCTTTCATATGGATATGGAAAAATAATAACAAATCAAGCTGTCCTCAGGTATTTGAATTAGGGACTTGTACTCAATAGGAAAGGTTCCATTAGAACAAAAAAAAACTTCCAAGATGGTGGTTAATGAATCACTTAATCACTTTTTTCCCTCAGGCAATACGGCATTACATAGTCCAATGTTGGAGCTGGATAATGATATGCGCCCTTCTGCATTGGCGCATCTTAGTCAGACAGCTTCACTAAAAAGGGCCAGCAGTTTTCAGTCTGGTCGAGATGATAGTAAGTATTTTTCCTCTTTTTTTTTAAAAATTTATTAGTCTTTAAACTACTTATGTTTTCATGCTGTGATACTATATAACTTCTAGTTTTGAATGCCAATAATTTTGTTATCTGTATCCCACCTCTGGTTTTTATGAAACAACTTAGGAGTTACTAAAATTTGCATATGAGTGGATAATTGAAGGTGAAAATGTAGAGAAGGGATCTGAGAGATTCTTCACGGCAAGAATATAATCAAGTGTCTTGAAAGTGAACATTCCTTGCCTCCATTTCATGGAATTTCAGGGTTGAAAGGGAACAGAGAGGCTATCAACCTGTATCTGATCAAGATTCCCTATATAGCATCACAAATATAAATTAACGCTTTTATTTGCATCCTATCCCTAGGACATAAACAGAGTTTTGTCAAAAAATAATAAAACATTCAATAACATTGCTCTCACTAAAAATATCATTATTAATAGTGGCCAAAATGTTTTATACTGCTAGTAAACAAATAAAAATATTTTAAAATATTGTTTTATCTTACATTTGAAATATTATTTATTTCCTATGTTGGGGTACATGCTCAACATTTTTAATGCAGGGGCATGTATTAAAAAAAAAGTTGGTAGGTAGTTCCTCTTGCCTTCTGTAATATTATGCTAAAACAAAATAAAATTTATATCAATGTGAATTGAAATCTATGTAGATCACTTCATTCCTTGCTAATTTTAGCATACTTCGTGTAGTTTACCAGTTAAAAAAACCCATTAACATTAAAATCATTTTTTGGCTGATTCAAAGCTACATTCTTTTTATTTTATGCTACTTCTATCTTCTTTCCTTAGCATGGCGTTATAAAGCTCCCCACCGGGTGGCCTTTGTTGAAAAGTTGACCAAACTTGTTTTAAGTCAACTCCCTAATTTCTGGAAGCTCTGGATTTCCTATGTCAATGGAAGCCTTTTCAGTGAGGTATGAATAGGTTCATATATGTAAATATAATTTTGATACTGTGAATTTATATAGAGTTTTATTTAGTGTTTGAAAGTGGTTAAAATTAATTAAAGCCATAAAAGGCTAATGGAGTAGAAGTAATGACCACTATGATTCTTTTCAAATTTTGACTTTTTTTATATGTTACATTATAAAGATTTTTATAGCATAGGCTCATATAATCACTTAATAATAATAATCAGTTAAATAATAATAATTACTTAAAAACAAAATTGGTAGAAATATTTTCATAGCCTTCAAATCTTTGTATAATTCCAAGCTGGCAAGGTTGTGAATGACATGATTCATTTCAGTTCATTTAATAAAACATTTATTAAATACCTACTCTGTGCAAAGCACTGGAAATGAAAAGACAAAATTGAAACAGTCCCCAACTTATATTCTACTAGGGGAATATTGTTACACATATGCACATAAATATAACTTATAACACAGATCCACAATCTCTAGGCTTACACAAACCAGATTCAGTCTTTGAGGGTGTTCCCCCCAACCCCCCAAAATCCTCTCAAACCATTTTATTAACACCCAGAGTTTACTCTGAGAAATTAAATATAGCTCAATACTGAGACAAATGAAAGACCTCAAAGATTCTGGGTAATTAATAATCAATTTGTTAATTAGGCTAGCCAGCAGTCAGTAAATTGATGGTCAGTGGTTTCTCTCAGTAACCAAAAACTCTCAGTGAAGACCCTGAGATCTTTAAATACCTTTCTGAAATGTAATGCCCAAGACAAGTAAAAATCAATCCTGATTAGTGGACATTCCTGCTGAGAACCTAGCTTGATCATGAAACTCAGCAGCCTCCAGCATTCTGTTTAGGGGAATCCACATCCATCCAGACCTCTCTGGGTGGTTTTTCTCCTTCATAAGCTAGGTTACCCTAAACTTTAATGGAGGGGCACAGGAACAGGGGCTCCTTTCCCAGGGAAAGGACTGGATTCTGTTTATGCTCTAAACTGAAGTTAACTCTCCTTGTTGGATGGGATCCCACCCAAGATTGAAGAACATGTTCCTTGAAGGTTAGGAGTAATCTCATCAATTAGTCATGTCCTTCAGGGACTGACTTTAACAAGAGCTGGGCCTTAAAGAGGAAATAGAAGCAAAAAAGCCTGGATCCCAATTTAATAATTGGTTATTAATTTTAATAATGTAATAATAATTTCTGTTAATACTTATGTCTAGTCCTCCATAGATAAGGGTAAAAGAGTCCCTGGATCCTAAAGTCATAATGCATCATAGATACTAGAGAGCTTTTACTCTCCCCCATAGAAAAAGCATAATAGTTCTTCTGGGTCAATATCATTGGGAAAGCACAGTGATTGATGTACTTCTAATTAATATTAAATAAGAGAATAACTACATACATATCTAAACTCATTCATTTTCCTTGACATTCACTAGAGTAATAAAAACATTGCATTTCAGCAAGTTTTTCTTCCACAAAGACAGGCTTCAGATGCAACTAATCTCTATAAACAGAAAATTCCAAGAAGTTATAAAGCTGTGTATATACCCTTTGACCCAGCAGTACCACTATTAAGTCCATTTCCTAAGGTGATCAGGCAAAAAGGAAAAGAACCTTTATATTCTAAAATATTTATAGCAGCTGTCTTTCTGGTTACAAAAAACTAGAAATTGAGGTGATGCCCATAAGTTGGGGAATGGCTGAACAAGTTGTGGTATATAATTGTTATGGAATACTACTAGCTGTGAGAAATGATGAGCTGCTTAATTTTAGAAAAACATGGGAAGACCTGCGTGAAGTAATGAAAAATGAAGTGAGCAGAACCAAGAGAATGTTGTTACAGCAGTACTATTCAAAGAATAATTGTGAGCAGCCAAGTTATTCTGACTACTATAAATACTCAAATCAACTATAAAGAGCCTATGAAGGAAGATGCTGTTGACCTCCAGAGAAAAAAAAACTGATAAATAGAAGTATGCATAGTATGGTTTTACAGATATTTCTACATGTCTTTCCAATGACGGCCTTCTCTAGTGTAGGGTGGGGAGGGAGGGAGGGAGACAGTGTGGAATTTAAAATGTTACCCCAAAATTTTTTAATTTAATTTAATATATATATATGTATATATAATATATATAAACAGAAAATTACTGAACTGACAACATGTCCACACTCAGAAAATGGAATAATTTAATGATAATCCTTTGTTAAAGAATTCTACTATTAGTTTCTTTTAAACTTAATATTTAATGATTAGATTTTTTTAGAGCAAAAGAAAAATCTCAGTCTCTTAAAAAGTTTTGTGGTTCAGTACTACACACAGACTTTTAGGTTTCTTGTCCTTCACCACAGGAGATGATCATTATAACATTGGTATTATAGTTTCCTTTCCTTATCTCCTTAATATGTAAACTAAGGTTGTTTTTCAGGATGGGAACATTTAGAAGCCTTCCTAGCAATTTTCAGGGATAAATGATCACAACTTCCTAGAAGAACATTGGTAGTATTACAGAATAGCTGGTTTTAAGGGATCTTTCTCTAAAATCATTCTAAAATTCTGATGACCTTTTAGCTATCAAGAATGATTGAAGCCCTGGAGATACCATGTAACAACTGATCTTAAGAGTGGGGGGTTTCAACGTGGCATTGAGTAATCTTGAGATCTGCTAATTCATTTGAAGAATTGTCTTCTTAGGGGAAAAAATAACTCCTAACGTATACGTTTTTACCTCAGCTTTTTTCAGCTTAGTTCCACCTTATTAATATAGTTCATCTGACATGCTTTACATGCCGGTTAATGTTTGGACAATATTGAGATCTGTCTTTGGACCAACTAGAGAAGTTCATGGTTTTGGGGAAGGCCTTTTTATTTTCTTACCATGACCACTAACATATTGCAATTCAAAGGTACATTTTGAACTCATCAAGAAGAGGTAGAATCTCTGACAGTTGTGATCTCATAGTGGTTAGTGTAATGTAGTCAAACAGTGTTTTCTTTTTTAACGGGTAGGTACCCATCTGTGGTCAAAATGGCATTTAAATAATATCGTGCATATTCTACATAAGACATAAATGAGCTATTTCAGAAGTGAAGAACCACATTTGCAGTTGTAAAAATCACAGTAGTCATTTTCGCTGAGTTAACATCTCTAGTTTTCAATTATTTAAAAAATAAACTTTTGAAAAATGCAACTTACTGCTTTTTAAAATTTTTCTTAGATATATATAGCTCGTGTTTAATTCCAAATATTTGTGTTTAGTTCTAGTTGAAGAATGTTTTTTCTCTTTAGTAAAAAATCTGAAAATATGCCTAACAGAAGTAAAAAGAAATACAAAGATTATTTTTTTTAAAAATGTTCCCAAACAATGAAGAATCATTTATGAAGAAAATTCAGAATTTAAAAGTAATTAATAACAGTTAAGATATTTTAAAAATCAAAATCACACACCAAGAAACCTAAATATTTTAGTCAGTAGTGTTAATGTTGTAGTTGCATATTGCTTTTCTTGTTCTAGAAACTAACGTGTTCTTTAGATATTATGACAGTTGAGGTCCTAGATGGTTTTTCCAGCAGTTTAAAGAGTTATAGCTCTTTGAACAAGCCAGACCTATGTGAGGTAACATACATGAATCAAAACAGTGAAATCTAGCCGTTGGTCTTACCACAAAGTAGTTTTGGTCTGTATATACAGGAAAGAATTAATTTTTTTAAATTAACGAAATGGTTAATAGTAGGTTAAGATCTTACCTTGAGATATAGTTTAGATATAGCTTATTTCAGGTGTGAGAAGACTGAAAATGTCAAAATAATTTTCAAACATTAAGAACCAGCATTCTTAAAGGCAATGAGTCATAAGATTTAAATTAGCACGATGTACTTTTCTGTTCCAAAATCAGATTATGTCTTAAAAATAGAACACGATTAGATTTTATGACTCAATACGTTGGAAATGTTTGACTCCAGTAAGTGCAGGAAAATGTACAATTTTAGAGACTCGAGGAACTATTTTTTATGATCTTTCTTGCCATTAACATTTTTTTAAAATTGTGCAATCCAAATAATTTCATAAATCTAGAAATTTAGTTGCAAAATTATATTGGCCAGTAGATGTCACCATACGCATGTTAATACTGTTTAGTTGCCAGAGTGCATGCTTATTTGATGTGGCCTCGACAGCTTTCATTGCATGTTCCTATGCCAATTGATTTTTGTGTTTGTCTTATTTGAAAGTTATAAGCAAAAGTACTCATGTGATATCCCCTTTTCCATATCCATCGCTTCTATTATTTAGTATTGATGAACCTAGTAAAAAATCATTATCCCTGCCAGAATAAGTGTTTCTGTGGAATCCAAAATCTTAGAACTGGAAGGGACCTTAAGCTATGGTCTGCTCCAGCTCCCTTCTTTTAGAAATTACTCTCATTTTTATAAATAAGGCATTTGAGTTTATTCACTTAAATTTATAAATTAAATAAACCATTCCAGAAATGTGTTGATTTGAAAACTAACCTTAAATATATAGGTTACCTCATTAGGACTACTTTGTATTGAAGCCAAATTTAAATCTCAAATGAAAAGCCTGGAGGAATTTTCCATCTTACACGTAGTAAGTGCTTAATAAATGCCTGTTGATTTGACCACAAATGAGTGTACCACAAATTTAAGTTCTCTAACTTCATCTATGTCCTGTTTAACACTGTTCATCTTCTTGATTCCCTGACATAGTCCCTTAGTAACTCATAGATCTAAAATTGGAAGGGATCCCATAGGTCAACCCTTTCCTTTCAGAAATAAGGAAATTGATACACAGAGAGGTTAATGTATTGCCCAGGGTCACACAGGCAGTAAGCATGTTAACTCCGGAACCAGTACCCTTTCCACTTTCACAGTGTTGCTGAACTTCAGGCTTCTCAAACCCCTATTCCCACATCACTATCTCTTATTCTTACCCTCTTCTCCAACTCAAAACATTTTTCTTTCCTCCTTCTCTGAGCCTTTCTCGCACCCTCTAGGAAACATCCCTTTCAGTTTTGAACATCAGTCTTTTTACCTGTGCTTCCAGTCTCATTGCTTCCCATCTCCTCTACAACTTGGCTCCCTCAGTTATTTCCTCTCTTTCTAGCATCTTCAATTTCTCCATCTGTTGGCTTCTTCTCCATCTGCCTATTAATGTGTACACTTTATCTGCCCTGGAAAAAATTATCCCTTGACTCTTAAACCAGGATTAGTGGTAAACAAGGGAGGAAGCCATTTAAGATAGAACACATGGTGGGGTGGAATAGAATGTTGTGTCTATGTTGGGAGTAGGGGAAGGAGGGAGGTATCCTGAGGAACACTTTAATAGATTTTTGTAAGTGCACATATTTTTAATGTTATGAAAATGCTTTCTTCACAGAATGCAAGTTCTTATTTTATAATAAAGTCATATAATATCTGTTACACTGGAACTCCTTTAATTGGACGATGCACTTTAAAAATTTTAAATTAATTTTGTTGATGTCTTTTGTTTTGCTTTTACTTTCAATTTTATATGTTCCTTTCTCCTGACTTGCTCAATGAGCCATACCTTGTAACAAAAGAGGAAAAAAGAAAGGGGAAAAAAATCCAGTCAAATAACCAGTTTATCAACCAAATCTTGACAGTATATGCAATGTTCCACACCTCTAGTTCCTCACTTATGCAATGAAGAAAGGGAGGAGGTACCTTTTCTCATCTTTCTTTGGGACCAGGCTTGGTCGGTATAATGATATACAGCATTCGCTTTGAGGTTTTTTATTCTTTCCATTGCCATTACAAAAGTGCATTTTTGCAAGTATACTATGCCAGGAATGAAAATTAGCTTTATGGAGAATTTTCTTTTCTATGGAATGATACTCAAAAACATTAGGGAGGAAACAGTCTCAGACTTTTTGGGGGGTATATAAGATGTCTTGTTCTGACTCTGATTGACCCTTCTTTCCTGTAAAACTTTCTGTCATCTGCCCTTCAACTGCTATCCTACGTCTTTCTTTTCACTGCTATATTTCCTTAATATGTGTTTTATTTGTACTTTCTTCATTTCTTTACCATAAAGTCTTTTATTCCTACTACAATCTGGCTCTACTCTTATCACTACTACAATTTTATTCTCAAGTTACTAGTGATCCAATAGAGAAATCTAGTGACCTTTCTCAGTTGTCATTCTTCTTAATGATAACTTAATATGTATAGTGTTTAACAGTGTTAAAAAAAAAATAAATCCCTCCAGAATATATACCCCATTTCTAAGCCTTCCAATTTAATGATGTTTTAGTATGGCTTGTTTTCTTCAAATTTAAAGCAAAAACCAATATTGCACTTTATGAATTACTTATATAAAGATATACTGATACTCTCTTTCAAAACTTTAAGACTGCTGAGAAATCAGGACAAATGGAAAGATCAAAAAATGCAAGGCAAAGGCAGCATGACTTCAAGGTAAGTTAAGCATGACATTTTTTGTAAGAGTGTTGCTTATTAAGTCTTGAATAGAAGATTATATTTTTAATATTAATTTACTCATTTTTTGAGTTAGGATTCATGTATGTAGTATTTTATGTATGTATGTATGATTTATGTATAACTTTAGCCATATTGATTATAAGAAGATTGTTTATTTCTTTTCTTTTTTTTTTTTTTAAAGAAAATGATTCAGGAAGTGATGTACTCATTAGTTAAACTGATCCGTGGATCATTACTTCCATTCAGCCTCAAGGAAGGAGAGCTAAGACAGTATGGTGGCTGGGAGATGAAGTCTGAACTATCTGGTCAGTGGCTGACTCATGTCATCCAGACTGTAAGGTAACTCAAAATGTTAGCATATATCTGCCTAAGAAGAATGAAATATTAATTTTTAGGTAGCTGAAAACACATGCAATTCTCATGTGATTTTTTATTACATTTTAATCAAGGAAGAAATTTTTTCTGTGGCATCCTCTCTTTTATCTTTCATTATTGCCTGCTCTCCATTTGAGCTATCATTTAACGAACCCTTAAAATCTTTATCAGTCTTTTCTTACCTCATCTAACCCTCAAAAGTACTACTCAGGAAAAAGGCTTTCTAGTCATTTAAATAACGTGAACATTTTAATAGGCATTTTAGGCAAGATCTGCTTTTTCTGTCTAATGGAAACATCATCTTATGATATGTCTTATTGTTCATTTTGTGTCATTCTAACCTCTGTTACTACTTTGCATTTTCTGTGCCTGCATTAGTGCATCTCTTAGTTTTCTAAGTGCCTTACAGTTGCTGTCATGCATGTATACTCAGTATTTGTTTATGATTTTGGCAAAAACATTGTCTTAATAATGATCTTAAACATGTTTTCATGTTATATGTTTGACAGGCTTACTTATGAATCCTTGACTGCCCTTGAAATACCTAACGATTTGTTACAAAACATCCAGGATCTTATTCTGGATCTACGAGTACGTTGTATAATGATCACCTTGCAACACACTGCTGAAGGTAATGCAAGAAAAATGGATAATAATATTAATTGAGGAATAGCTAAAATATGATGGTATTTGAATGCGATAGAAAATTATTATGCCATAAGAAATGACCAAAGGGGCAGATTAAGAGAAGCCAGAGAACTCTTTTATAACTGATGCAGACTGAAATGAGCAGAACTAGGAGGATGATTTACGCAGTGACTACAACATTGTAAAGAAAAACAAATGGGAAAATATCAGTTTGGTCAGTCTATCAACAGGCATTCATTGTTTACCACATACCAGAAACTGTGCTAAATGCTTGAATAGAAAGGAAGGCAACAAAAAGCCCCTGCCCTCATAGAGCTCAAAGAGCTAATGGTGTGGGCATGGTGAAAGTAACTGCATATATACAAGAGACTTCAACTGTAAATGTAAGGTAATTTCAAAAGGATGGCCCTTGCAATGGGGGAAAGAGAGAAAGGCTTCCTGCAGAAGGTGGGGTTTGAATTGAGTCTCAAGAGGAAGCTAGAGAATGTAAAAGGGAAAGGTGAGGAGGAAGGGCATTCCAGGCATGGGGGATAACCAGTCCAAATGCATGTAATCAGGTGAGGGAGTGTCATGTGTGAGAAAAACCAAGTACTCTGGATCATGATTGCAGGGGGGAGTAAAGCATAAAAAAACTGGAATTATAGGAAGGGGCCAAGTTAAAAAGGGCTTTAAATGCAAAATAAGATTTTATATTTGCTTTAGGGGGCACAACATATTGAGTTGTGAGGAGTAACATGGTCAGACCTGCACTCTAGCAAAGTCACTTTGGCAGTTGAGTAGAGTAACAATTAGAATGGGGAGAAAGATGCGAGAAAGCCAGTTAGGAAGCTGTTGCAGCAGTTCAGGTGTGAGATGATATGGGCCCATGGTGGTGGGGGCTAAGTGAGTATGGAGAAGAGCCCATATAGCAGAGAGACTGTGAAGGTAGAAACAACAAGATTTAATACCAGATCATGAGTGAGGAGTCAAGGATGATACTAAGGTTGGGAGACTGGATGATGGGGATGGGTGCAATAATCAGTTACTACTCTAGAACACCAGTAATGAAACCTGCTTCCCAACACTTGACAGAAAAGTGAGGAGCTAGAAGTTCAAGAGGAGAGATAAATTTACAGACATGGTTAGAGCTTGACCATTCAAACACTGATTGTGTTCATTTGTTAAAAGGGAAGACCTTTTTGTTTGGTGTGGGAGAGGTGAGAGAGAGAGCACTAGTAATAGTGATACCCCCAAAAATGTAGAAAAGAAAGTAAATAATGTAAAACGTGCCCAGAGAAAACAAAAGGAAATTCAGAGACAGACAATTAAGACAGCTTTGGAACAAATGTCAAATTTGTTATATTTACATATATGTACAAAACAGACTCAAGATTTCATATACTTTTGGCTCTTCTTTGTACATGGAAACATTCATGTTTGTTGATGTTTGTCAAGTTCTGAACAAAAATATTTTAAACCTGAAAAAATAAAGAAATATGTCTTCACACTAGCTTTCTACTTCATTGGGGAAATTTAGTGAACAAAGTACATTCTATTGTCTGAATCTACCAAAAGAGGCAGAAGACTTCGGTGATGAGTGATGCCACTTGTTACTGACACATTTAGTTAAACCAAACAAAATCAAAAACTGACATGTCATCTGTGTTTCTGGAAGTTCCATGGGTTATTTGAAATAAAAATTAATTATGTTGTGGTTCTTAATGCAGATGTAAAAAGACTGGCTGAAAAGGAAGACTGGATTGTTGATAATGAAGGCCTAACATCTTTAGTAAGTTTAATGAATTCTTTAGCTACTTTTTAGTACAGTTACTACTTAACATTGCTATTTTGTTATACGTATTTTTCCCCATTCAGAGCAATACGTTGAATTTTTGTTTGGTTTTTAGTGGGAAAAAAAGTTACTCATTGTATTTGCAGCATTGAACATTATCTAGTAATGGAAGACTATATCCTTAAGGAAGTTTCTCTTCCCAAAAGCTATTGTTCCTCAGATATTATAATATTACCTCAGCTGTAAAGCAAACCAATAAAGACAGTCTGTGTTAACCATGCAAAGAGCACCAGTTCTGGAATCAAAAGACTTGGCTTTCAAATCCCATCGCTGACACTTAACTGTGTTCCCTTGAGTTTAATCTACCTTGGCTTCAGTTCTCATCTGTAAAATGAAGAGATTGGATTAAATGGCCTCCAGTCTCTTCTAGCTCCAAACTTATGATCCTAGTGAACTAAGTGAACTCTAGACTAACTCCCGTGCTATAGTCCCTGGTTCCTTAGCCTTATTTCCATTTACTCCTTGCAAAACCCCTATGTTACTCTCACCATGTTCCTCCTTTATCTTATTCACATGCTGTTAAAAAAAAAAAGTGAAAAGAGGTTGTTCAACTTTATTAACTAGGTCCCCTGCAAATTTTGTTTATCTGATTTCTACTGTGCCTTCACTTTAGTGAGACAGTCTTCTATAAGTGATTTCCTATCCCATTGACTATAGCTGCTATTGTAAGCCTTCTCTTCTCTCCTCAAGCCACCCAGAGCAATTCTTCTGTCTCCCTGCCCATACACACACACACACACACACACACACACACACAGAGCCAACAACCTCACTTCATACTTTACCCCCCCAAAATATGACCATTCACTGCAGGCTCTCTCTTCTTTTCTGTCTTCTTCTCTAGTCACCCTGACATCATCTCCCACTACCTCTTACCTTATTACAATTGAAGAGATGACCCTTTTCCTTACCTGAGGCCAATCCCTCTACCTGTACTTTTGATTCTATCTCCTCCTGTGTTCTCCAGGAAATTGCTTACACTGTCATCCCTCATCTCTTTCTCATCATCAATCTGTCCCTATCACTTGGCCCCTTTTCTGCTGCCTATAGATATGCCCAAACCTCCCGCATTCTTGTTTGTTTGTTTGTTTTTTTGGCTAGGCAGTGGAATTAAGTGACTTGCCCAGGGTCACACAGCTAGTAAGTGTTACCTGTCTGAGGCTGGATTTGAACTAAGGTCCTCCTGAATCCAGGGCCGGTGCTCTATCCACTGTGCCACCCAGCTGCCCCAACCTCCCCCATTCTTTAAAAAAAAAACCCTCATTAGATTCTATCATCATGTATCTTTCTTCCCCTTCTCAGCTAAAATCTTTGAAAAAGCCAACTACATTCAGTGTCTTCACTTTCTTTCCTTTTATTCTCTTCTAAAACTCTCTGTAATTTGGCTCATAACCTAATCATTCAACTGAAATTCCTCTCTATAAAGTTACTACTGACGGCTTAACAAGGCCAACGTCCTTTTCTTATTCTGCATCTTTCTTTCTTGACTTCCCTGAAGCAACTTTGGCTATTCTTTCTTCCCTGGATTGTTGAGATACTACACTCTGTTAGTTTTCCTGTCTAATTCCTTCTCAGTCTCCTTTGATGGAACCTCATCTATGTCATGCCCACTAACTCTGGGAACCTGAGCCCTCTTTATTTTCCTTTCTTCATTCTCCCACTTGATAATCTCCATCTCCCCTCAGTTCAGTTATCATCACTGTGCATATGACTTCCCGTCTATCTATCCAGCCCTATCACTCGTCTGAATTCCAGGCCCTCATCACCAACTGCCTATTGGCCATTTCAACCTTGATTTCCTTTAGGCATCTCACACTTACTGCATTTAGGGAGGCACATGGAAGAATAGAAAGATCACTGACTCTAGATTCAGAGGACTTGAATTTAAATCCCACTTCTGCCCATCACTACCTTAATTGACCTACCTTGGTCAAGTTTCTCCCTGGGCATCAGTTTTCTGATGTGTAAAATAAGAGTAGTTTTGTATAATAATAATAATAATAGTTATTTAGATGGTTTCCGAGGTTTCTTCTAGCTTAGGATCTACGATCCTGTGTATGACTGAAACAGGACTCATATTTTTCTCCAAATGTATCCCTCTTCCACACCTCTCTGCCTCAGTGTCATACTCAGCTCCTCTTTATTATTCACTCTGGGTATCTCTCGATTCCAAATCTTTTCATTTCTATTTCCACAATATCTCTTGGATAAACCTCTTTCTCTCCACTCACCCAGCCAACCCATTAGTACAGATTGTCATCATCTCTCATCTGGACTAATTCAATAGCCTCCTAATTGGTCTCTTTCTTTCAAGTCTTTCCCTATCCATTCTCCACACAACTACCAAAGTGATTTTCCTAAATTTCAAGTCTGGCCGTGGCCCATCTCTTTTCAGTAAACTCCAGTAGTTCTCTTTTACTGGTAGCATCCAATATAAACTGTTCTGTTTTATATTCAATATGTTTGACAGCCTGACCCTTTCTCACCTTTCTAGTCTCCTCTGTACCTTTCTTGGTCCAGCCATATTGGCCAACTTGTTCTTTATACATCATGCTCTATCTTCTATCCCTATGCTTTTGTGCTTGATATCCCCCGTGCCTGGAATGCTGTCCCTCTTTATCTTTGCCTCCTAGAATCACTATTCCTTTCTAGATTGAGTTCAGACACCATTTTCTTAAGACACCTTTCTCGATCTCCTCAATTGCTAATAATGGTAGCCAGTATTTATGTAGCACTCACTGTATTTCAGGCGCTGTGCTAAATGTTTTACAAATATTGTCTCACTTGATCCTCACAACAACCCTGCAAGGTAAGTGCCATTATTAGCCACATTTTACAGTTGAGGAAGCTGATGCAGACAGGTTAAATGACTTGCTCAAGGTCAGACAGCTAGTTAGTAGCTGAGGCTATATTTTTAACTCAAGTCTTCCTGACCCTAGGCCCAGTGCTATATCTACCGTGCCACCAGCTGCTGGTACTTTTCTCACTAAGATTGTCTTGTATTTACTGTGTATGTATCTTGTAAATACCTATATGTTCATATTATGTCCCCATTAGAATGTAAACTTCTTGAGGGCAAGGACTGTTTCAGTTTTGTTTCTGTATCCCCATTGCTTAGCATCGTCCATGGCATGGTGCCTAATGAATGGTTATTAATTGTTCTGTGAATGAACCTTCCTTTAAAATGATCCTTCTCTCAAAAAAAAAAAGATCCTTCTCCTGCATTTCCTATTATACTTTTTTTTTAGTGTATGATAATTTTTAAAAGAACGTACTGTATTTGTTTTGTTTTGTAAAATTATAATTGACTAGATTATTTAGTATCCTGGATTTTTCAGAAAAGTTAAATGTCATTATGATGTAAGCCTGGAGGAGACCAACCTTGAGGAACACTTCTAGCTTTGTTGTATGGGTGTGTGTCTGTGTTATAGAAGTTGAGGCGCGCAGAAGATAAGTGACTTTCTCAATGTCACATTATCAGTGAGTAGCACAACTAGAGCCCAGGCCTTCTTAATCACACCATCCAGTCCAACTCAGCTGAAACTAAGAAAGGTAAAGAGACTTGCCCCATATCACATAGAGGTAGTAAGTGGCAGAGCCAGGATAGGATCATAGAATATATATACAGCTACACATTATCTTTAAACTTTTTAACTTCTCTTGATTTGCGTTTCCTCATCTGTCAGATGGATACATTTGCTTTACCTGATGTAGTCCTTGATGCAATGTTGCCTAGTGAATAGGGAGCTGGCCTTGAAACCAGGAATACCTAGTGTCACCCCTCTAACACACAAGGGCTATATGACACTGGGCAAGTCATCTAACCTCTCAGTAACTCTCTAAAACTGTAAGTTGAAAAGAAGGCACAAACCTGCATTAATAGAGAGAATTTTCTTCTCTGGGAGTTTTCTATACCAGTTAAGTCACAGGTCTTGTGTCTGTCTTCCATCCCTACTTAGTCCTGGTGAAGTTAAAATAGCACAAAAGAATTGAAAGAACTTTGAAGTCATTATGATTATTTGAAAAAGCAAAACTGCCACTCAAAGACAAGGTTTTGATATTAAAAGCAGATCTTGAAAAAAAAATGTTATGTGTACATACTTACACATATAAGAAGGACCTGAACTATTTTTTAAATAGTTTGTGTTTGTATCAGTCTGTACAATGTTATCCATTGAATCTGGCCATATGAACACAGTTAGGACAATTTTTTAACTGTTTAGTGTAGAAAAGTCCATGTGAAAATGTTTTGTAGCTTAGTGAAATGATTACCACAGAAACTTATTTGTAGTTAATTAAATAAATTTCTTATCCATTATAAGTGTGAAATCTTAACCATAAAGCAATTGATTTACTAGTCATGTAGATTCACATTAATAATAAATAACCTAAAACTGGGTTTAGAGAAAGTAAGTGTTTGGGGAAAAGAAACAAATGACTAATGACCAAAGCACTAGTTCATTGTGTGAATGACTGATCCTAGAAAGTAAGATAGCTGACTATAGTCACTAACTATGTTTGTGTGAAAGTTCGTTAGCCAGACAGCATAGACCTTACTTAGTGGGAATGTTGGAGGACATTCCAGTCTTTGCTCTCTAACTCTCTAAATCCACTCCTTGTTCTCTTTTCCCTCTTTCTATCAATGGCACCTAGTCAACCATGGTCCCTTGATGGTTTTTTTTCCTGTCTCTTACCTTTCATACTCTGTAAACTGCCAAAAGCTGCCAATTCTTCCTCTACAGTACCTTCACATCTTTTCTCTTCTGTCTAGTTTCACTTATATTATGCTTATGGAGGCCCTATTCAACTGAACTCTTGTAATCACCTGTTTATTTTATTGGGCTTATCTGACATAGTTTTCAAGGTGATGAATTGGAATTTGATTTCTTTATCACTTCTAAGCCTGCAATCATGTCAGAATCTACCCAGAGTTATCT